AATACATCAACGCATTATCTTTTTTTTATTCGGCAGAGTCCTGACTACAATAAGCTGGAATCCACATTAAAATACTCCAAACACACCTTTAGCTGGTGGGGAAGAGTCACATATGACGTGCAGGTTTGTCCACAACCTTTGGACCGAGTGGGACATTTTGTCGGTGCTTGAAGCTCGCGGACGTTGGAGCCAAAGAACAGCAGCGAATCGGTGGATTATGAATCATTGAGTGAGACAAAGGCTGCAGAGTTACTGTGAAACACACAGCGAGCCAGCAAAGACACACACACACACACACACACACACACACACACACACACACACACACACTCTTACCTCTGCCGCTTCTCACGGGAATTATGGATTTAATCTGCTGTTTCTGCAGTGAGGAAAGTCCCCGAGCCGCTTCACCTCCTGCTTCAGGTGTGAGACGTGAAACCGCCTCAGGAGTCTGGCAGGTGTTTTTTGAGCCAATCAGAAAGCTTGAGCGTCATGTGACTGGTTTTTCCTGCCTGGGGAAGCTGGCGATCGTGTGTGTTACACAGTAGAGGTGACATGTCTTGTTTATTTGGGCTACAAAGATGATGTGATGACTACAAAGATGATGTGATGACTATTGAAACAAGGAACATCCTTGTTTCAATAGTATATGAAACTCAAAATGCCCTTTGTTATTAACGTGACTGAAAATTAGTCAAATGTTTTATATTTTGTTCATCATTTTGAAAATTATTTTTGACTAAATTATATTTTTGAAAGCTAACCTCACCTTTTATTTTCCAAATAATAACATACACTCTTACCAGCGGTCAAAACAATGCCATTTACTGCTTTTAAAATAGAAATAAAGTGTATATTGCATAATTATACATTACAAAAAGAGTTCTGCATTTTGGTCCGGCCCTCCAAATTATTTTCAGTTTCCCATTTGGCCCCCTGGGAAAAATAATTGCCCACCCCTGCTCTATAGGCAGGAGGATGAGAGTTAAGTTAGTGCTTGAAAACATCTGTAAAATGTGATTAATCAGAAATGGGCATGTTGGTCTCATTGGAGACGAGTTACACAAAGTACTTGGAGACAATGTCCGGGTTCGCTTCACCTACACACAGCACAGCTGTAGCTAAGGTGACTCACACAACTCAGTCTGCAGACTTCGGTCTGCTGCAACGCGACTCTACTGCTGAGTATTAAATATAAACATGCACGTTTACGCTAGAATGAAATGACACCTGAACTATAAATGCAGAGTAATAATGGGTGAAGGCCGCTTAAAGGCTGGATGGCACGAACAACATGTATTTCAAGTCACAACACCGGCACAGGAACATGTTGAAAAGAGATGCAGCACTATCTGGGTCAAATGCAGTGTTTGACTTTGTATTATGCGCCTTTTTTCATGTCGTTGTTAAACTGCCTGAAACAGGTCCGTGCACGTATGACTGCAGGACACAATACTCCTTGGGTTAAAATAAAGTATCCGCTTTGACTTTAAACATTCAGCTGTAGTTATTTTTGTCCGTCTCAACACTACCGTCCCCCTTCAGCACAGCAGACACACTACGCAATAAGCATCAGGAAAGCCGCTGCTCCAGGGTCAGTGAGGCCGGGTGCAAAAAGTGGTCCGTGGAAGGTTCCCTTTTCAGTAGAGACATGGACCCGCCTCCTAAAGTTAGTTAGAAAAAACGACTTACGGTAAACCCATGGTCGTGAAGATACTCATTAACATGTCATTTGCATGAGGAGGAGGCGGGTCCATGTCTCTACTGAAGAAGGATCCTTCCACCGACCACAGGAAGAAGCGACCAATGCAACCTGCCGCTCTGAAAAGGGAACCTGCCACCGACCACCAGAACCTGCCGTCCGGACAAAGGAAGCTTCCACCGACCACTTTCGCACCCGGCGTCACTCTCCAGTGTTTAAAACCAGAGAGGAACGTATGAGGGGCCGTGGGGGACATTAGTCACAATACCCTCTCACACACACACACATGGGAAATGTGCTCATACACACAACTGCAATGCTCTCGCATGATAATGTGGAATATAAAGGTTCAGTGGAGAATACGAACATTACAATTAAAAAGGAAGGCCTTCCTTTCAACTGCAGGAAACAGGAAGTGCACACCAGGAAGTGCATGTGCTTTTACTGGATTTGAAGTATTACTTCAACCACAATGCATGTTCACCTGATCCTCCTCATCCAAACTTTATTCTTTGAGGTGAGAGGCAATGAAAGTCAAGTCAAGCAGAGGTGCCTTTGACATCTCGAGGTCCTCAAGGGTTTTACTGTCAGATACCGAGCATCACACGGAGTATAAGGAAAAACAACGAGGGAAATACACTTTACCGTCTACAGCAATAGTGGAGGAATTCAAACTATAGGAAGTGAGCATTCAGCAATGAGCAGACTGGGCTGGATTGGTTCTCCCTCTCAAAACGCCAAGAGAATATTGTAATGTGACCTAATTCTAATGCAGGATAACAGTTAAACTACCAACTGACCGTGTGACTCTTTGTCTTGTAGCTCTGGTTTTGCTGAAGCATCAACCAGAAGAGAAAAGGGGCGTGTCTAGAGGAAGCAGGTGAAGAGGCGTGGCCGTTCATCCTGCTCCATTCCTACACAGCTGATCCACATTCCATGATCCACCCCTGCAGTATTTAGAGCCGGGCTGTTCACCTCTCCAGTGGCACCTTGTTAATACTCCTACGTGGTAACGTGGCTCAGTAGCTCTGCTCGTGTTGTCCAGCAAACTCCTGTTCTGTAGTTCTTTCTGTGTGACTTCAGTTCCTCTGTGCACATTCTGCTGTTTACTAGTGACGGCCAGATGAAGCTTTATGAAGCAGTGAAGCTTTATGAAGCAGTGAAGCTTTCCAGCCAATCGTATCGTAAAAAGGTTCATTCATTCAATGCATCTCAAACTCTATGATGACGTCTGCTGTTGAAAACTTGTAGTGCAAATGTATCGAACAGCCCACCAGTATATTTTGGCCCAGTCTCTGATTATGAAAAGTTGAACCAATAAATCATCTAATAAACACATGGATTCCTATATGAATAAAACTATTGTTTTCAGGTTTGACTTGTGTCCTTGTTTGTGTATTTCAATTCTCTGTACATTAACAAGAAGTGGAACACACACTTATCTATGTCTTTCTACACCTTTGTGCATTATATACATACTAATATATACAAACAAAATATATATATATATATATATATATATATATATATATATACAAACCTTTACCCGAAGTACAGGAAGCACAAGACCCACCAGAGAGTCACCAAATAGCGCTTAACTACTACCGGACTAGGAGAACACCAACATAGCCGAGGCTACAATTAGCGTAAACAAAACGCTAATCCTCTCCTCGCCTCCTCTGATTGTGCTTCCTTTCCTCTTGGTCTTTCCTCATTGCTCGAGTCACGCTGACACGCTGCCCGGAGCTTTCGGGCCTTTCGTATCGGGCGAGCAATGGCGCTCTGACGCCGGTGTCAAGTCTCTGACGGCGTCGGACCCTCTTCTTTGGGATGCGCCCTTTGGATGAGGACGTTTTGTCCCAAGAGCTTTCATCGTCATCTACACATGAGGAACAACAGAAGGGAACATTTGTAGTGAACTAAAGCCGCCGGCTGCGTTAAATGGTCTTATTTCATCCTTTCACGGCTCAGACACAAAAGACACCGTAAGAAAAAGGTCCCAACAGCGTGAATCAGAGGTTTATCTCCAGGTACCCACTTCTCCACCTGACAAGTCCAGTAAACCACCAACACCAGTTAATGCAGACGTCTGTCTGGATTCCCCACTTACCTCGAGTCCTTTTAGGGCCACAGAGTCATTGTGGCCTTTTCTCAATGTTCGGCCACTGCAAAAAACCTGTGTGCAGTTCCAAGGCTGCTAACTACCTGACCCGCGAGTGTTCTTAAGCTGTGGAGAACGGAACATGGACATGGAAGTTAGAACACGGAAGGTGGAACGTGGAGAGTCAGTGAGGCCTTCTGGAATATGCAAATGACCATTCAGAGTGAGTTATTTTATGGAGAGGTATAACTTTATTTGCATTGCTCTAAAAAATATGGTTGTACGTTTCATTTGTTTTTAGCTGATGGAGCCATCTGCTTACTTGAATTATGTTTTTGTTTCTTTATTTGAAAAAACATAGATGGAGGAGCCACAAAATTCAACATGGACCATTTTGTTGGGGCATGAACGTCTTTTTTCACATTTCCAAAGTCCTCATATTATCTGTCAAAGGTCACAGCAGCTATTTATTATATAGCTGCTGTGACCTTTTTACAACTGACAAGTAATTCTGTTTACGTGTTTGTGGTATTTATGTTTAACACTAATAATCTATATGTTTCTATATGTTCATATATTACTCAGTTGGTGATGGGGGAAGGCAGAGGCAGGACCCAGACGCAGAGCTTGAAAACAAAAAGACTTTAATAGTCAAAATTAGTGACGTTACCAGATGTGCCGACGCCTCGCGCGTGTCGAGTAACTGAGGGGGCGTGTCCTCGCGGCGCGTACCGAGGCTCGCTTCATTTAGGGGAGGAGCCATAAACGATGGCGTCCGAAGCCTCGCTGCCCGGCGGGACCACGTGACGCTTCAGGAAGGGCTTCAGATTTACTTCCATGTATAAACCCCTCAGGCTCCATTCAAGATGTGGGCTGTTGGTGGAGAGTTGGTCAGTTAGAGTTTGGATGGTTCGGATAGTTTATATCGTTTGGAGAGTTTAGAGAGAGATAGTTGAGAGTGAGGAGAGAAGGACAGGTGATAAGATGGAGCCAGCTAGGAAGAGGAGGACTTCCTCTGTGATTAGATCACTCCTAATAAGCTGAGCTGAATCTCACTCTATTTCAGACACATTAGGTTTGCTTATCAAGAACTGTATTTTTCAGTTTCTTATTTGATTCAAAGGTGAGGTGTTTATTGTGCTCCGAGGAGTTTGGGTGCAATAACAGCACCTCCTCCATGCTGAGGCCTCACCGTGCCTTGCATGAGAATAAGGAGGAAACTGGAGCTTCACCCAGCCAAGGTAAGTCATTACAATATTACAAATGCACCAACACAATTATTCACTGTTGTTCATTGTGCAAATAAAGACAGGTAACAGACACTGTATTCATTCTCTTTTAAAACAAGAGCTGGATGAAGCCTCGTCTCCATGACAGCGAAGGACACGCAGCCCTTCAGTATTGTGGATGATTCAGGGCATTTGTGTCCAAACTGGATCCTCATCATGTTCTCCCTACAAGGCAGGTATGTGTGGGTGCATGAAACACATGAGTACTTCATTGTCTCACAGTTCAGCACTAGATGTGTTTTCCTTTAGGCTCTGCAGGCCGTGGTGGAGGCTGAGTAGGAGTCAGCTAAGGAGAAGGCTAAAGTGGAAAAGGTGGCTGCTGTTAGCCTTACTTCTGACATGTGGACATCCATCAGTATGGATGCCTACCTGGCTGTAAGGTGCCACTTTGTGGGGGAGAAAACCACACTCGGTTCAGTGCTTCCCCCGATCACACACTGCTGAACATATAGGTCGTGTGAAAGCCTCCCTGATGGAGGAATGGGGAATCGATCATAAGGTGACGTGTGTGGTCACTGATGGTGCTCCCAATGTGGTTTCCTGTGTGAGAGCTGAAGCTTCGGCACCATATTTTATGTTGCACACTGAATCTGACAGTGAAGAAGGGGACCTGAGCAGCAGCCGGTGCTCTCTGGCATCCGGGCCAAAGCACGGAAGCTGGTTGGCTTCTTTAGGAGCAGCACCACTGCTACGGTTTGCTCCTTCCCTTTATCCCACTTTCTAATAACGCTGAGAGTTTGTCTGTGTTCCTACTGCAGTGAGTCAATGGCTACTCATCTGTATCTTTAAAGGAGAAGCTGACACAACTTCATCTGGGGACGGCAAACATGAAGCTAATGCAAGAAGTGGAGGCCAGATGGAGCAGCACATGGAGCACACACACACGACAGACTGGTCGGGGGCCGAGGCCGTCAGAGGACAGCGACAGTGAGGAGGGCTTGTCGGACTGCAGCGATGCCCCGACGGGGTTTTTAAGTAACAGCCAACAACAAAAAATGTACGGTGCTGAGAAAATAAGTGTGTTTTTAAAGAAAACAAAAGGGAAAAAGGGGGTAAAGGTCATAGATTTCTTCCCCGATCTTAACTTGTTTTATATTTCTGCCAGACACCACATGAGCCGGAGGGAAGAGTCCGGCCTCACTGAGCAGGAGGGCTACAGACTAAAGAAGCTGCTATACGGAAAGTACGCAGAGCAATCAACAAGGGCAATGTCCAAATCTCCAATGTGGGTTTTAATTCCTTTATTGGTTTTTATTTTTGGTGCAAACTTACTCACAATGAATTCTTTTAAAGTGGGGAGTTTAAACGTTAACGGAGCCAGAGATGAGAAGAAGAGAGCATCTATTTATGAATTAAAGAAATTGAAGTGTATTGATGTTCTCTTCTTACAAGAAACTCACAGCGACAGCACCAACGAGGCCGACTGGAGGAGGGAAGTCCTGCTGAGCCACAACACCAACCTCAGTGGAGGAGTGGGCTTCCTCTTCTCCAGGTCCTTTAATCCACCGTCACTGGAGGTCAAACACATCATCGAGGGGAGGTTGTTCTTAGTCAAGGCACGGTTCCACCTTTTTACTGTTGTTTTTATCAATGTGCTCCAACAATCGGTGCAGAGAGGAAGCTGTTTCTACGAAAAAAGTGATAATGTTTTAAATGGCTGTGCCCCGGAGGGTTTTTTATTTTTGGGGGGGATTTTAACTGTATGGAAAATGATTTGAAAGACCGTAATCAGGCAGAGCCACATCTTTAGTCTGATGCGTGTCTCCTTGCAGGCGGCTGGTGGATCACCAGCTGGGTGACATCCGGTCGGACTCGGTGCCGTCAGAGGTTCGGGACTGGCTGGCTTCCACTTTCACCCGGCAGACGGTTGTGATGCTGCGCCGTAACGAGGACAAGCCACGCTTCCGCAGCATCGTTCATGCAGTGCAGGCCGGCATCTTTGTGGAGAGGTTTGGCTTGTTTGGTGTATTTGATGCAACAGTCATGTGGAATATTAGGCCCTTCATAGTTGTTTAGTCATGATGTGTGATGTTTGTTTCAAGGTTTTCCCATTTAACATGAATGATATAACACAGATAACATAAAGGGTTCATTGGTAATAATAATAAAACTCTGCATTATCCTCGTAGCTGAATAGGGTACAAACATGGTGGACTCCACTGGGTGATTGTTTGCTGTTGATGGTCAAAGCCAGCAGGGATACGCGTTACTTGTACGTGGTGCAACTAAGCCAATCAAATGTCCTCTTAGCTCAAACTAACCCGCTGACTGAAACCATGCTAGCTGATCCAGCTTAATGTCATTAACTGGAACCAGACGTCAGTCATCAGGATAATTGTGTGTCCGCGTCCTACTTCAAAAGGGGGAAGAGTCGATCAAATCAACTCAAAGGAAGAGGCTCTTTTTTCTCCGCTGACGAGCAGGAGGGGATCATGAACGCACCATATAGAACCAGGAGTTTGAATATGTGTGTGTGAATCAGCATGTATGTGTGTATTCCCTCTATTCTTATCATGAGTCCACCGTAATCATATTCTATGAAGATGATAAGCTCCGTAATGAATAGTCATAGTAACGCCTTTTCAATAAGTGATGAAACACTGAATGACTCATTTACCTGCAGTTCCATAAAAGCCCTCTTTGATTGCATTTACTGGGACATCGGCAGGGAATGTAATGAACCATCCAGAAGTTTCTCAAGCACCAAACAAACTTCAGGAACAGCGCGGCGTGCAGCGGCTTTCCCCGTGTTCTCCGCATCCCAACAATGTACACAAATGCACCGTTGAGACACATCGTCCTGCCTGGAATGCAAGGACTCGATTGGTCGATTGGTATCACGTGGGACGACTTAACTCTGGACATAATGGCGAGGGACACTTGCTAGGATTTTATCAGCTACTGTCCATACTGCTTATCGGTCAGGTTCCTTATTGATACTATATGAATTATTTAGTCACAAATAGAAGATAATAAAAAATCCACATGCTTAATTGATTCCCTGTTGCTGGTAGCGTGAAGGGACTTGATGTGGGACCAGGAACGGTAGAGGGGGGGTTGGACGTGCTGGGTCATAGCTGCAGCCTCAGCCCAAAAACTCTCCATCACCAAAGCCATTATCTTAAGTTCCTCTCTAAGTTTTTCGTCTTATACAGAGAACTCTTCCCTTGAACTCAGCCGTCCACCTTTTAAAGCATGTCCACAAAAATAATAAGAAAACAGTATCCAGTTCAGCAAAAAAGGGACAAGTTGTGAGACGCTGTAAGGACACAGAGTCAAGGACATAATGCACAAACATAGATATTCAGATTATATTGAAAGCCCCAGTGGGCGATATTCCACTGGAGTCAGTGGAAGTGGTGGTGGATGGTTAGAAGTCTTGTGAGTTTACAATCAGCCAATTAAACGTTAAACATTGAACCGCCCAAAACCGATGCTCAAAAGGAACTTAAAGCATCATCATTTTAGGCTTCCTCTAACACACTAAGGAAGCATCGCTATCTGACCAGTAATAAGCAAACACAAACTGGGATCGAGCTGATAAATACGACATAAACCAGCTGAATGTGGTTCCATTTGTGTGGAATATTGCTATATTTCTTCAGCAGTAACATATAAACTGATCCCAACACACAAATCCATAGATTTTGCAGGTGCAGGATAACAAAAGAAGCTAGAATTCAATAACGAGTTCCCAGTTGTTAAATTCTATATCAGTACAAAATCCTCCAGACTAAATTGTAACTGGTGTTTTTATGTTTTCTTATCGATGGTACCTTAACAAAGGAATCCTAGAAATGAACAGTTGAACCGTTATGTGGACATTCGCGTGCTAATAAAGCTTCTGTGTGTCTTTTCTAGCATGTGGACATGTGGTCTTTTGATGTGTTTGCACTGAACGATGCTAGTGGGGACCACGCTCTGAAATGTGTCTTCTATGAGCTATTCACCGGATATGACTTGATCAACCGTTTCAAGGTATGTTCATTTTGACAAGACGCTGTGTATGTAATGAGCACAATGTCAGCGACAGCAGAACTAAGTATTGATGGGAACGTACTGGGTTCAACAGAACAACTTCTCTGTATTGCTTCTACAATTCTGCAAAGCAACTGGTTGTTCCTTGTCTTCTGTTGAAGGTCCCGGTTTGTGCCCTCATATCCTTCGTGGACTCGTTGGAAGTGGGCTACAGCAAACACAAGAATCCCTATCACAACCTGACGCATGCGGCTGATGTCACACAGACCATTCATTACCTGCTCCTCAAGACCGGCATGGTGGTACGTTCAGGGTTGGGTAAAAGCACAATGCAATACGCTTTTCAAAAGTGCCTGCAGACTTCCTCAGTGGATCTTACAAGTCACTCATCACAGCTTTCCTACCTCAAAATCCAATCGGGACGGGATGAATGATGACTGACAGGTAGATAATAATGATGCAATAGCAAAGTTAGTGTTGTCTCTGACTGTAAATGGATGAAGGGCTGCATGACAAACTGGAGCTTTAAGTGACTTTGGTGACTTTTATTGATGTAGGTTGTTACAGCAAAGAAAGAACAACTGAAGAAAGAGTTCAGTGAATCAGTAAAGACAAAACATAGATTTAAATCATGGTTAAAACCTAAATGAGACTCCTTCTCAGGTAACCAAGGCCGCAATAAACAGAGGCCCACAGGGCCTTTTTCAAGCCCCTCCCCCAAACACAAGCACCACCCAACTTAATTTGCGTTGAAATAATGCATCAACAATCCCTCATGCCGGCTGTCTAGGGACTGTAGCAGCACCACATGTACAATGCAGACATTGTGTTATTAAAAGGTACAAGCCCCGCCTCCACGTGCCTGTGGGTCACTACGGGGGTCAGAAAGCTGCATGGGGGCAAGGCCGGGGCTGGATGGGACTCGCCGTGAGTTGCTGAAGGGGATATCACACTTTCACCTTTCTGGGGAAAGACTATGCTGGGGAGGCAGTGACTCATATCACAGCATATGGAACCTTGGACTCAAGCAGAGTAGTGCTCATTCCGTCCCGGTCTTGGACCAGTGGACCATCTCTTTACCCTCCCGAGACTACTGGGGGGGGTCCTGGCAGTTTGCCCAACCAGTCTACATGTGCTTTGTGGACGGAGAAGGCTTTTGACTCTCCAGTTGGTGACTTTCATGGACAGGATATCTAGGCGCACCCGGGGGTGGAGGACCTCGGGTCGGGGGTCTCCATCTCCTCTCTGCTGGTGCTGATGTGATGTCCTGTTGGCCTCCTCGCACAGTGACCTCCAGCACTCAGTGAGGCACTTTGCACCAGATCCTCTTGGTGAAGAGCTCTATTTGCTTTCATTTGAGTTGAGGTGCTACTGGAAAACAACCGAGGTGGTTCAGGCACACTGACAACTGGCAAAGAGACTCTGTGCTGGTTCACTTCCAGCAGGAGAACCTCACAACGTTAAGCAGGACGTTTTTTAATCTTCATCTCCCGATTGACACGTTCCTCCTCGTCTGTCTGCCTCTCTCCTTCAGCACTGGCTCAG